GATTTACTTGCTGTAAGGGCATAGGAAGAACATGCTAGAAAGAGGGAATGGAGAAATTAAAAGTATAGAGATGGGACAGCAATGACTATTTCAAGGAATAATAAAAGGGACTTAAAATCATTGAATTTTGTAGCTAAAATTGATCTGAAAGATAATCATTTCTTTGTATAGAGGAGGAAAGTGAGGGCCAGAGATATTAATCAACAGACATTCATTCACTTTTCTCAGTAGCACATGGGGGTCACCAGCCTTTAAGATAAAATGGATCAAAATGCTATCTTATTTGGTAACACTCTGAACTTGACTGCTTAGAATGAAATTGGCAATTGTGAAAATAAGTGATAGTCAACAAGTTCCTAAAAATTTCTAATGAAATCTGGAGAGTAAAAAGCTAAATGTTTCCATTCTCCTCGTGTAACTTACCAAAGTGATGCTTGCCAATGCATAAGAAAATACTTCTGGTGGAGTGCAATAAACCAAGTGCATGACTGATTTCAAAAGAAATGAGGCCAATTTTGGGAAATGGCAATGACAGAACTAGGGTCCCTCTCACTTGTTCAGGGGTGGGAAACCTTCAGCCACATGTGGCCCTCTAGGTCCTCAATTTCAGTCCTTTGACTGAATCCAAACTTCACAGAACAAATCCCCTTCATAAAAGGATTTGTATTTTTTCTGTAAAACTTGGACTTGGTCAAAAGGCTACACCCAAGGACCTAGAAGGCCACATGTGGCCTGGAGGCTGCCAGTTCCCCACCCGTTCTAGATTGTATATTTAATTCATTATTTTTCCATAATACATATGTTTGTGCAAATATCTATACATATGAACATATGTATTTGTATGCATTAACTCTTTTCTGGAGAATTCTTTTGCCAAAGCCTCAGTTCCACAACATGGCCTTTCAAGAGGTGAAGCAGCATTGCTCATCCCCCATTGAAAAGCGATGTGATGTAGTAAATAAAGCACTGACCTTGGAATCAAGAACACCAAAGTTCAAATCCTAACATGGATTTTTTTTTTCACATGTTATGTGACCTTGGAGGAATTATTTAACATTGCTAATTCTCAATTCCTACATCAGTAAAAAGGGGGAAATAATGTCTGTGGTACTTCCCTCAAAAAGTTATGAGGTTAAAATAAGAAAGTAGATGCAAAAGTTAAAACACCACTTCATTGTCTGATGGCAATGATTGTGGTAGTTGTTAAAATAGAATCTGTAGGTATTGGGGGTTGAGTTATCAGGTCACATTAGTTCTCACTAACTGACTCAACTGATGAATGAAGCAGCTGCTCTTTGTTCTGAAGCTGATGAGGCACAGCTGGATCATTCCATCCCAACTGGGCTCCATGCTGCTTAACATACAAAACATTCTATCTGTGATCCTTGTGTCACTATACAGACTGTTTCCTTCAGCAGCGATGCATTTCCCTAATGCCAGCTCCTAGTCTCCTCCTTTCCTGACTGTCTTTTGTATGACAGAAGCCACCCTTCAATAAATTATGCTGAAGATGGATCTATTTCCAAATTGCCTTTGAAAAGCAAATTGTCATGATTCCTCCCCAAGCACAAATGCAACCAAAATCATCGAGATCCTTTATTTCTAGCTGACTGCCTTTTCTCTTTCCTCCTAAAAAGATTAATGTATAGAAAGAAAAAAAAGGGAACATGCTGCTTTTGAAACTGAGGATTAGTGGAGGGGTGAATAGGAAGATTAACACTGGGTAGAAAAAGATCAAATACACAAGTTTAGGACTGGAGACACTTGGTTGGACAAGAGATCACTTGAAAAATCCTTGGAAATTTTAATATATTACAAAATCAATAGGAATTAGCAATTTGATGTGGCATCAAGATAGCTAATGTATGAGATATCATGTCTAGAATAGGGAAGACAATAGTTGTACTATACCTGGTCTGAGCACATTTGGAGACCTAATTAAGTTCTGGACACTGCATTGTAGGAAGTATACTGGCAGGCTGAAGTATGTCATGATTAAAGTAACCCAGATGATGAGGGGACTAAAGGGGATTCCACATAAGGATTTATTAAAAAAACTAAATTAGTTGAATGTTGGCCTGCAGAAGAGATG